AAAACATAGTGCGTGCGTGCGTGCGTGTGTGTGTGTGTGTGTGTGTGTGTGTGTGTGTGTGTGTGTGTGTGTGTGTGTGTGTGTGTGTGTGTGTGTGTGTGTGTGTGTGTGTGTGGTGTGTTTTGTGTGTGTGTGTGTGTGTGTGTGTATGTGTGTGTGTGTGTGTGTTACAGCTAATCTTAGTACAAAAAAATAATATTAGCCAGCTAAACCAACCCTGCTACAATTTTATCTATTGGAAACTGGCTTGAACTAATCACAGTTAGGGACAATCGAATAAACTTAAGTTTGAACAAGTAGTGTGTTGTTCTAGTGATTGTTCATTAGATACAATCAAAATTCAATACAGTGTTACTAACCATATAAATTCTTTCATTTTTATTTTCAATTGCTTCTACATTTTAAGCCTATGCGTCGCGGTTAAACTTAAGTTTTATTTTAGCCGGAAAATCTTAAGTTTATTTTTTACACTAACATTAGCCGTTAAATTTAAACTCTTTTTAAGTATTATTAATTATATTGATACCATTTCTCTTTTTCTGTAGAATAACAAAGCAGTACTGTAGAAAAAAAGATTGGTAAGAAAAATTGAAGAATAAGTTCAACGTTTTATTTAAAACGAGAGAGTAAATTGAGATTAGAAAAAATTAGAGAAGTAAATTGCTTATACTTTAGCCTATGTTTGAGGACGTGCAGTTAGAACATACTAACATGTTCTACAGTATCATATCACAGAGAGACGCAATAAAATTGAAATCTAAATATAAAACGAACTGATAATTTGACTAGTTAATACAAAGTAGAAATAAACAATGAGCAATAAATTGAAATTTAAGTAGTATATTTTCCAGTTCAATAATAAATATAATATTTCAAAAAGATACCATGACTACATAAAGTGAATTGTCATTTTAGAATACAAGTGGAAATTATGGCGTTATCGTGCAATATATAGGACGTTTAATCTGATACCAAAATATACTATTTTAATTAAAATCATATGTTAGGTTAAATTATGCCTTTGTATCTTGTACATTTAATTTAATAACTTCATTTGCATTCATAAAAATTCCTTTGCTCCTAAAATTTAACCAAAGAAATACCCTTCTGGAAGAAAAAGTATGCCACTACAAAACATTTACAAACACATAACATCGTTATTCATTTAATTATGCAGTTTAGCCATCTAACGTTTCCCTATCCTCTATTTTTGTAATCTATCTGATTACAAAAATAGAGGATTCTCCAGCCTTTAGTTGTTTGTCATACCATACTATACCAACTAAAGGTTATTATTATATCTATTTAAACGACGCGACGTATTGTCTAAAATTTGACAAACTTATGTAGAATTGTTCAATTTAAAATTTGTATGTATCTTATTAAGTGTTGTCACATGCGAAATACTGGTTAAAACAAATAATTATAGGCAGAAATTATTTAGCCCATTTTTGGGTAGTATTCATATTAATTTCATCTTCACTACGAATACTTTTTATTTTAAAAGGTGCTCTCAATGAATAATCATCATTACGGTCCTTCACGATTCCACTACCCAAAATAGGCCCCTCTCAGTCTACTATAAAATGAAAATAATTTTATAGGACCTAAACAGTTTAAATGCGAAAATGGCAACACAGCATCAAAACAAGGCATCGCAGTCATATACAATATGTAACAAAAAACCTGTGGTTCATTAAGTGAAACTAACTAACTCAAACGAGTATCGGTACTGCGGGATCTTTGACAATCCTCTTACTCCTCGGCTGATGCAGAGGTAATAAAACCACATACAATTTGCAAATTAATTTTTTTTCATCAAAATTAATTTTTTAAATGTTTTTTTGAAAAAAAAAATTATCTCTTATGTTTGGATACTGATTCTGATAGCGCAGTTAACGGGAACCACAGGGTTTTTGTTACATATTGTAGTATATCGACTTCATTTCGTTACTATTAGTATTTGTGTTTAATTATTAAGTTTATTAAATAATATCTTTGTGTTAAGGTGCCTTAGACGCTCATAATTCATAAACAGAAATTAGCGCGTCTAAAAATTTCGGAGGTCCAATTTTATTCGCGCCTGGAATCGATGTAATTATTAATCGTAATTTAAGTGCCGAATAACCACTCGCTTAGCGAAGAAGGGCTATTTAATCCTGCATATTTGAGAAATAAAAATAATTCGAGGGACTGCTGTTTGTGGGCACACATTGAAGCTGCCCGGCGCCCTACATATTGCTCCAAAAACTTTTCGGAAATGAGTGGCATGTGCCCAGTCGCTACTTTAACTAGTAATAGCTATCGATATTTTATGAATTGCCCTAATGCAATTACACGCAATTTTGTCTCACAAATTATATTTCTAAATAGGTCTATCATATTAACTAATTATACAAAACTATATTTCTAAAGTTAATAAGTTAGAAATCCCAATAACTATAATTAACCTTTTTAAATACTTACTTTAGGAATTGGAATCGGAAAGCTAAGCCCACTCACTATTCATGAAATATTATCCTTGTTGAAAATACGAAATTTAAGTACCTAAGATATGATCAATGGTCTTTTATCTTACTTAAAAATTTTGATCTTAAATGATAAAAATCATGAAAATAAATAATAGTGACCTTTAATGCTAAAATAAAATGATCACTAACCAAACTAAGTGAAAGAAAAGAGCGAACGGGCAGTTGAAATTTTAAATGAAACTCCAGATTGTATTCGATAATTTTACTATCATATTATAATAAGCACCAAACCATGTTTGGAATGTTCAGTATTGCACCACAAAGAACAAAATCCGATTTATAAAAATTACACTCATTGTTACAGTACATTTGCACTCAATGTGGCAGGAGAAGTAAAATAAAAAATCTCCGAGCAATTTATTAGTATATTTTAAATAAATAAATTCGGTTACTACAAACAACAATAAAGGTCACCATTAATTCGAATCTCAACTAATGTACACAAAACGAATGAAATGAGCGAGTTATATGTAACTTGAACCGATAAAATAACTATTTAAATTAAAAACCCGTCTTTGATAAATGTGTGCCTGAGTTATAGCGAACTAGCCGCGACTGTAGAACGGAATATATATATATATATATATATATATATATATATATATATATATATATATATATATATATATATATATTTATTCGCCATACATGTTTGTTAGCATAAATTTTTATTTTCGGATAAGTAGCTGCCGAATGGTGTGCAGGCAAACATTTACCAGCGACGGCATATTAACGGCAACAATCACATATATCACAATTTTGTACGCATACACATTACTCCGTTTAAGCTTACACGCTGCTGGTAAAGCTCAGTGTCACAAATACCCCCAATAAAACATTTCAAATTACTCTTATTTTTGTAATTCCGAGTACGAAACTGATAATTTGACAGGAATACCAAAAAACATAAAAAGCGAGTGTAAATAATTTTGACTTCAACAATTTATAGTGTAACATAACGTAATCTGAAGTTAAGTGTTGCCACTTAAAAGGTTCAGGCTATCTACCAGCGTGTAAATTTTAACGATCAAGAACTGACACAAAATAGTCGCTGTTGCCGTTTTTCGTTACAAAATTAAACGGTTTGTACAAAAAAGTGACTTCATTGTGCATGAACATCGCACGGTCCAGTCTTCACAGAAGATCACGTGTTTAGGGAACATTTTAATCTCAGCAGTTCTTAACCATCCCTGGTATAATTAAGTACAGCAGCCCGTCGTCCCCGTGGTATTATTCTCATCGATGTTTCTTATCGCTACAGTGCTTGCTTGCAGAATACATATTAATTCTCTACAATAGCCATTTTATACACGTCGACAAGTATTAATACAAATATTAATTCCACGGACACAACGAACCAGCTGTGTTTATACATTACTGACGGCACTAGATCTAAAATAGGTGTGGATTTTTGTGGTAAAAATCCATGCTCTCACGTCTCATGTCTCACGTATTGTTGCCGTCACATAACCATATAATCACGTTCCAGTTACACTTCAGGCTAACTAAATAAATACTTAATTAATATCATAAAACATTTTACAAATAAAACAATTACTGAATAGGAAAGTTTCTTGTTTCAACTTCACTGTAGTGTAATGGAAATGTATTACAAAGTTGTTCCTACTTGAAGGAAGAGGCGCATTTTTCATATCAAATTCGAGTCGATCCTAGATATTAAATAAGTCATATATATTTCATAATACTAGTTAGAGTAATGGGACCATTGCAGCCTTATTTTATATCTATTGTTTCTTTTCCGGCATACAGCATAAATAAAAAATAAATTTTATTTCGTTATGAGAAAAATGCTCCTAATCCGATCAAATTAAGTTTACAATACATCTAATCTCTTATATAAACAATACAATAAATCACTCTGCCCTTGTTTACTCTTTGCCGCGTAGCGATCGCGGTGATGATGGATCAGTATCGATTTCGGCCAAAAGCAATCGTCCGTCGAGTTCAACCGATCAATCACAGCGCATTTTGGTCACGCAAGGATTTTTATTGAAAATTGCAAGCGACACCACGACGTAAAACATCAAATGCACGCGTACATGTGACTTGAGCTCATGTACCAAGTAATACATTACACAGTCGAATGCATAGACGTGTACAATATATAACAACGCGTGAGTACACTGACGCGTTGACCACGAAGTACAAGCCAGAAATATATAGACTAAGGTTGAAACTTTTATTGACGCGGTGCGCAAGCAATGCTCTCGGAAAGTGCCGGAGCTAGACTGAGTTTGTGTTCGTTCGCCGCATATGTTAAGTGTCTGAAAGAAGAGAACGACATTGTAAGAAATTACGTATCAGCTCATAATGTATGCACTAAAAATTGTAGTTAACACTAGAATATCGTGTACAATGCAGGCGTTTCACATTAATAAATTGCAATTGGAAAGACATGCATGAATGAATAAATAATAAACATGACGTAAATGAATCCTATAAATAAATATGCTATCAAATTTTGTCCCTAGTGAGGTGGTCGAGAGTCTAGAAGTCGGACGCGAGGCACTTAGTGCGCGTGAGACGGTCGAGCCCGGCGAGTGCACCGGTACGCACCGGACGCGGCTAGAAGTCGGACGCGAGGCGCTTAGTGCGCGTGAGACGGTCGAGCTCGGCGAGTGCGCCGGTACGCACCGGACGCGGCTAGAAGTCGGACGCGAGGCGCTTGGCGCACGTGAGGCGGTCGAGCTCGGCGAGTGCAGTGCGAGTGCGGCGGTACGCATTGGAGCGCCGCCAGAAGTCGGACGCGAGGCGCTTGGCGCGCGTGAGGCGGTCGAGCTCGGCGAGTGCGCCGGTACGCACCGGACGCGGCTAGAAGGCGGACGCGAGGCGCTTAGTGCGCGTGAGACGGTCGAGCTCGGCGAGTGCGCCGGTACGCACCGGGCGCGGCTAGAAGTCGGACGCGAGGCGCTTGGCGCGCGTGAGGCGGTCGAGCTCGGCGAGTGCGGCGGTACGCACCGGGCGCGGCTAGCAGTCGGACGCGAGGCGCTTGGCGCGCGTGAGGCGGTCGAGCTCGGCGAGTGCGGCGGTACGCACCGGGCACGGCTAGAAGTCGGACGCGAGGCGCTTGGCGCGCGTGAGGCGGTCGAGCTCGGCGAGTGCAGCGGTACGCACCGGAAGCGGCTAGCAGTCGGACGCGAGGCGCTTGGCGCGCGTGAGGTGGTCGAGCTCGGCGAGTGCAGCGGTACGCACCGGGCGCGGCTAGCAGTCGGACGCGAGGCGCTTGGCGCGCGTGAGGCGGTCGAGCTCGGCGAGTGCGGCGGTACGCATCGGGCGCGGCTAGAAGTCGGACGCGAGGCGCTTGGCGCGCGTGAGGCGGTCGAGCTCGGCGAGTGCGGCGGTACGCAACGGGCGCGGCTAGAAGTCGGACGCGAGGCGCTTGGCGCAAGTGAGGCGGTCGAGCTCGGCGAGTGCAGTGCGAGTGCGGCGGTACGCATCGGAAGCGGCTAGCAGTCGGACGCGAGGCGCTTGGCGCGCGTGAGGCGGTCGAGCTCGGCGAGTGCGGCGGTACGCAACGGGCGCGGCTAGAAGTCGGACGCGAGGCGCTTGGCGCACGTGAGGCGGCCGAGCTCGGCGAGTTCAGTGCGAGTGCGGCGGTACGCACTGGGCGCGGCTAGAAGTCGGACGCGAGGCGCTTGGCGCGCGTGAGGCGGTCGAGCTCGGCGAGTGCAGCGGTACGCACCGGAAGCGGCTAGCAGTCGGACGCGAGGCGCTTGGCGCGCGTGAGGCGGTCGAGTTCGGCGAGTTCAGCGGCACGCACCGGGCGCGGCTAGCAGTCGGACGCGAGGCGCTTGGCGCGCGTGAGGCGGTCGAGCTCGGCGAGTTCAGCGGCACGCACCGGGCGCGGCTAGCAGTCGGACGCGAGGCGCTTGGCGCGCGTGAGGCGGTCGAGCTCGGCGAGTGCGACGGTACGCATCGGGCGCGGCTAGAAGTCGGACGCGAGGCGCTTGGCGCGCGTGAGGCGGTCGAGCTCGGCGAGTGCGGCGGTACGCAACGGGCGCGGCTAGAAGTCGGACGCGAGGCGCTTGGCGCACGTGAGGCGGTCGAGCTCGGCGAGTGCAGTGCGAGTGCGGCGGTACGCACCGGAAGCGGCTAGCAGTCGGACGCGAGGCGCTTGGCGCGCGTGAGGCGGTCGAGCTCGGCGAGTGCGGCGGTACGCATCGGGCGCGGCTAGAAGTCGGACGCGAGGCGCTTGGCGCGCGTGAGGCGGCCGAGCTCGGCGAGTGAAGGCGAGTGCGGCGGTACGCACTGGGCGCGGCTAGAAGTCGGACGCGAGGCGCTTGGCGCGCGTGAGGCGGTCGAGCTCGGCGAGTGCAGTGCGAGTGCGGCGGTACGCACCGGGCGCGGCTAGAAGTCGGACGCGAGGCGCTTGGCGCGCGTGAGACGGTCGAGCTCGGCGAGTGCAGGGGTACGCACCGGAAGCGGCTAGCAGTCGGACGCAAGGCGCTTGGCGCGCGTGAGGCGGTCGAGCTCGGCGGCCGCGTCGGAGCGCGCGGCGGCGGCGGCGGGCGACGCGTCGGCGGCGCGCGCGCCTGGCGAGCCCGTCTTCTTGTACAGAAGCGAGTTGAAGAAGCTCGCCAGCACGCCCTCATTGCCGGGCGACCCGCCGCCCATGCTGATCTTTGTGCCGTCCAGCTGTAACGATAACATATTTGCTTTATGACTACATTTCGCACCGCGTCGTATCTCGAACTATAATAGTATATGGGGTTATTTTGCAATTTTTGTAAGCCCAAATTTGCAGAAAGGTTCAGAACAAATCATATAGGCGAATGGTGAACAATAATTATTAAAAAAAATTAAACATTACTGTCGTTTTTGTCATTTAAATTTAGAATGTTTGGTAATACACTATTTTAACTAATTGTCATTCATAAATATCTAACGCCTACTGTTTTACTACGCACACATCCGTAAGGGTGGTTTGGTCTCCCCGCGTCCTTTCCTTCCGTTCATAGTTACACCTCTAGGTACCTTCGTCCGACAGCTAACAGTGTTGACCGTGACCTCATTATGTACGAGTGTGTTTTTTTTAATTTTCGTAGGTAGTGCCGCTTCCTTACCAAAGACGGAACGAAAATATTCGAACCGCGAATATTATGAGACTATGAAATTGTGCAGTGTTACATTTTAAGCAATGAAAGTTTATGTGGTGCGTGATACGAAAGTGACTCTTCACCGCAAGAAATTAACGTAAGTGTATCAATCGATATGTAATAACAACGGTATATCATTATTTAAATATTTGAACTTAAATATAAAATTTGGCTACTCTTTGATAAATAACCATCGATATTAAAATTATCTGTTATATTATTAACATTCATTTTATTAGTTTTTGGTTTAACTTTTATTTATTTCAGTAATAGCTTATAAAAATCTAAACCAAAACTATATTAAATACTTTTACCAGGTATGGTTCACAGGTTGAAGTAAAAATCAACTTAAACATTGTTTTAATAAGATTGACTATTGAGAAATACTATTTAGGATACATTATAAATAAGGATTTCTAATAAATATTTTTAAGATTTAGCTTAATATTAAAAAAGTTAAAGGTACAGCCTATATACCACAGCTGTCCCACAGCTGGTCTCCTCTCATTTCTGACAGGGTTCTAACGCAAGGAAGTGCTGCCGCCCTGCCCAATGCGTGTTGGCGAACTTCACATGTCATCGTAATTTTTTTTCTTTGAGCCGTGGTAGCTCAGGGGCTAAGCGCTCGCTGTAAATTTCACAGTACGCGAGGAACCCGGGTTCGAACCCACCGGAACCAATAAAATTGTTAAATGAAAGGCTAATATTTCCAATATTGACCATCGATTTCAAAGCCCATATTTTTTTTGTTAGTACTCACAAAAAGAAAGCGTTTTAAAAGTTTTAGGTTGCGGAAACTTACAGTTCATGAGATATATTTTTTTAAACTTTTCATACAAATTGGTAAATAACACGCAATTACAAAATAAATTTGACAAATGATTGATGTTAAACGTCAGTTAGTGTAGGGTTCCGAATATTTTGAAAGTATCGATACCTACTCGATACCAAGTATCGTATCAAAAATATCAATACTACTTGGTATCGAGTACATTTCGTTAATTTTGGAGACGAAAAATTATGACAAACCAATTAGATGCATAGGAAGAGCTGATAAGTGCAATTATATATGTATATAAAGTAGAATAAACTTTACTCTATTTAAGTTCCACCTTAGTACTTGTATTTCATTGTTTGCAACTTGTTTGTATTTCTTAATTAGTACAGCTTTTGTACTTTTATTTTATTGTTTGCAACTTTCTGTATTATCTAATTCTTACTACAATAAAGTGTTTACTTACTTATTGACTTACTTATTTAATATTCAAAAAGTACCCAAAACCGAATCAGAGCACCCCACTATCCACGTGGTCTTGTCTGCCCTACCCCTAGAGTGTATATAAGAGCCCGGAGGCGCGGAGGGAGAGCCCAGGTGCCTGTGCTTCCCTACGCTAGGGCGGAGGCACTGCTCATCCCGCAGCGCCGGAGCTGCCACGGAGCGCCGGAGCACAACTTCCCGGCTTCTTGCCCCCCTAGTCTCCAAAATTAACGAAATGTACTCGATACCAAGTAGTATTGATACTTTTGATACGATACTTGGTATCGAGTACGTATCGATACTTTCAAAATATTCGGAACCCTACACTAATTGACGTTTGACATCAATGATTTGTCAAATTCATTTTGTAATTGGTGTAATTACGTGTTATTTGCCAATTTGTATGAAAAGTTTAAAAAAATATATCTCATGTACCGTAAGTTTCCGCAACCTAAAACTTTGCAAAACGCTTTCTTTTAGTGAGTACTATCTACAAAAAAATATGGGCTTTGAAATCGATGGTCCATATTGGAAATATTAACCAATTGAAATTTCAAGTACTGATTTACCACGTTCTCGGCCATCCCAAGACCATCGTGAAGAAACCTGCATGTCTGAGAAATAATAATATAAAACCTTTATAATATTAGCCTAATTTACCCGTGCAAAAGGTAATCATAATTGTTCAAAGCAATAAATCAAAATTAATTTAAACTTTTCCGTAATAAGATCGCTATTGGCAAGTAAAATTAATATAGCTAGGTATCCTCAAGGATACCAGGAGGAAAGAAAATGAATCTTAATCTAAAAAGAGTGGGGTGTATTTGGGCGTGTACCTGCGCGGCGGTGCGTTGCGCGGCACGCAGGGGTGAATCGGCGCGCGGCGCGGGCGCGCCGGCCTGCAGCGCGGCCAGCTGCCGCTGCAGGAACGCCTGCTCGTCCTCCGCGCACACCTCCGCCTCGCGCAGCCCGCCGCTCTGCAAACATACACGCACACGTCGTCATCTAACAACACGAACGCACTCACACACACGTACACATGCGTGCCGTAACAACAACACCTACGCACTTACACAAACACACGCCACGCATGCGTCCGCATGAACACACATGAAGTACTAACAAAACACACGCTCTCATATATAGTTATGTTTACGTGCGCACACGTACTGATAGTACGAACACACATGAGCTTGTAACAACAACACGTACGCGCTCACACACACGTACACATGTGTGCGCATACAAAGGAGATCGTAACAACGATACAAAGGCGCCGAAAACATTAATATGCACGCATGAATACAATAATGCACGAACTGTACTTGCACAATATACCACATGTGGAAATTTATACACACACAAACGCTCCATTGACCATACTATTATAGCCTATAAAAAGTCCACTGATAAACATACGCCTCCCACATAGAACGTCTCATAGGGGCATTTAGCCATCTTTGTCACGCTTTTTACAATTTGTAGGTTTTATTTTAAATTTTGAATTAAATGCTTACTAATCCGTTGGGCTATGTCTGTCACTCAGGTTCTACTGTGGATATCTTCATTTCTAAGTTCATCATGCAGAGAAACCCCTAGCATTGCCCTCTCCATATCTCGCTGAGCGACCTGTTTTAGTACGCTGAAGTGGCAATGAGCCGGCCATATAGCTCGAAGAACCGACAACCGTTGGGGAAAAAGGTTTTCAAGTGGCAGCCTTGTACCAGTTGGCGTAGTGTAGGGCGACCTCCACTAGATGGAGTGACGACCTGGTAAGACATGCAGGAAGTCAATGGATGCAGGTGGCTCAGGACCGTGCTTTGTAGCATTTCTTGAGGGAGGCCTATGTTCAGTAGTGGACTTGTGAAGGGCTGTAATGATGATGATGATGAAGGAAGTTCTCTCGTTCACCTCTTTCGACACCGACCAGACATGGATGTGGTGATATTGATAGTGGATATTCTTACACCACCAATAAGTATTACATAAACGATCATTGTCAATCAATCAAATGTTAAAGTGTGAACCATTTATTGAATATACATATTAAATAAATGGTTCACAATTCAACATTTGTGTTTATATTGATGAGATACTTACTTTTCTCGTGGCCGGCTGTACGATGACATCTCTGTAGTAATCGTCGGGCTTACACGACTGCATGTTCTCATACAATATACTGATCTTTTTCATACTATCCCACCCCGCAGGTCTGAAATAAGGATGAAACAAATAAACATTTTTCTTTGTTTATAAAATTATAAAATCAATTTCAAGTAACCGCGTAGGAGAGTTTATCACTAAATTTATTTGTGTGGGTAACATAATAGGCGAACTTACGGTGTTCTACCTGATGGTAAGTGGCTTCTGCAGCCCATGGACACCTGTAACCAACTTTAAACAAAAAATACTACAGATGCGTTGTCACCTCTGAGGGCTAGGCTGGAATGCCTCATAGCATGTTATCATACTTGTTTTCTATTCACTTTAAACCAGGGTTTCCCAACCTTTTCTGACCAGGGACCACTTTGATTTTTTTGTTGTTAGCAGGACCACGTTAATTTAACAATAAATTATAATCACAACTTTTAACATTATTATGTAATAAACTAAAAAAAACGTTCATTAACAGTATTATTTGTGTCTTTATTGCGAAAGCTCTTAAAAAAATCAAATGTGTTATATTTTATATTATTTAATTAAAACGATTAGGTAGGCAAAATATTTAAATCTTACACGAACCATATTTAAGCTCTTGCGGACCATTGATTGGGAATCACTGCTTTAAACAAAAACACGCCAATGCAAGCATTATTGTTTAGCGGCAGAAATAGGTAAAAGTGTACTGGCACTGTCCTCAACATTGAACTTGTGTAACTGTGGATTGTTTCAAATTATCGAAACAAAACTTAACTATTTCAATTGCGACTGCACAATAAAGGCCATTTATTATAATAACTGGCATCGCTGTTTCCACGAGATGCGTGCACAGAAAAATAGACGAAAATTTTATTTAACTTTAATCAGCAAATGTTAATACAGTGAAACCTGGTTACTTGGGATCTCAAGGGACCAAGTATTTTATACCATTTAAAGAGGTTTTCATTTATCCAGTTTTCCAATTAGACTGGTTTAAAATTTTGTCGTCTCATTTACAGAGCCTCGCCCCCTCCTCCCCCGCTTATAGAGGTTAGAATTTACCGTTATCCCATTTATAAAGGTGAAAAAGTTAATTAAAATGCATACTTTTGATGTTATTTGAATTAAGTGTAGGTGTATTTATTATTTAAAAAAAGAATACAATACATTAAAGTTTACGGCTTAAAGTAATCTGATATGTTTGTTTGTAATTGGTTGCTAGTTGCTTGTTTTTGGCTTTCCACAATCATAATCTGATAGAAACTCTAATTTTTCAGATACTGATAATGTGTTGCATTTACTTTTGGACATTTTGTGAACTTTTATTCTCTTACTTAGTACTGATAAACAAAGCATGTGCGAAAGAAATTCTAATTCAAATTAAAATTGTAAAATCGTGAATCATCTGATATTGTCTCACTTATAAAGGGAATTGAGCTCCAGAGTCCCAAGTATAGAGATTAACATCGAAAAAATCCTAGAAATCAAATCTCATTTGACCAGGTTCGAAAAATCCCATTAACAGAGGTAATTCGATGAAAAAGTGCCGGGACCTCATTGTAGTTCTCAATAATAGAGGTTTCTCACTTACCCAGGTCCCACTTAACCACGTTTCACTGTATAATATATGCTAAAACCCTTTGCATTATGTACATTACTTAGATATATGTGTGGAGTATGTAATGAAGTGGATGGCATGGAGTAAGTTTTAAATAAACGATAAACAGTATTGTACTCGTACGAACAGAAATTTCGCGCTATTGTTGTTTTTAAATTAGTATATTTATCTTGTATAAAATTGACCTTTAATTTAAAAAAATTACTTATTATGGAGCCATATAATATAAATAAAGGAAAAGAAGTTTAAAATAATTACGTAAACCAAAAAAACCTCACATGAGCACGGCGTCCTTCTCCACAATGAGTGCGGGTGTCCTGAAGGGCAGCCCGTATATCCGGTGCGTGAGGTATTTGTACAGCAGGTCGCAGTTCTTGTCCTCCTTCGCGCTGGTGTAGAACAGCGCCGCGCCGTATTGTAGGCAAAAGCGTCGGATCCACTGCTGCATGAAGTCGAAGTGCTCGTCGCGGTAATCGTGTTCCTTCTCCAGTGTGCTCATGTAGTCAGTCTGGTAGCGAACAAAGAACGCTAAATGAATAATTGCCGATATAGAGTTCCGGTTAAAAATAAACAAGAACGTTTTAGTATGCGCCGTGTGGTGGTGTTCTAAGAGAACCCATTAACATACTCCATTCTGTCACGGGAGCCTTGATTAAGGGAAATGCGATATAGATCTTACAGATGGGGGTAAAATCATCTCGATTTCGTCAGACGTAAAATACCCAGATCGGCGACGAGTAGAAAAATTTGGTATGGTATTTCGTGTGGCACTGCAGTCGAATGCGGTTCAATTTGCACAAGAATATCACTGCAAGACTTCAAGATACCGTGAGCTATTGGTTATATTCTTATAAAATTACATAATTTTATGGAATCTATCGCGTTTCATTTAACTTATTATTATTTATTTTAACTAACGATATTTCGGGCGCTTACAGCACCTATGGTCACAGGAAAGATAGAGTCTCGATTTCATAGTTAGTACGGCTACCTTTAGTTTTTGAATATTAATAAGTGAAATAAACGCGATAAAATCCGTAAATTTAGTTTTATTCAATGTGCAGTGTTCGCGTAAATTTAAGAAATCATTATCTTCTTAGCAGTTAAAAGCTTTCCGATATAAAAATATATAAATAATAAATATTTCAAATGGAGGTGACAGCAATCGCTCAGAAAAAAAATAGTTGACAACTGACGGCATGGCGTAATCAGTGACTGTTTTGATGGTATACAATTATTCCGGGTCGTAAGTGTTTATAAATGTTCAACTATACAAGGAATTCTGAGTGTGAGAGTTTAGGTTTTTTTTCTAATTAAAATTTATCATTTTGGAAGCAACCAATCGGAAGATTTTGGCATATTACTGAAACCACCTGGAAAGATATTTTTAAATTTTTATCTATGTGAAATCTCACCTTAGTTACAACGACCACAATGTCGAGGCCGAGGTTGGTGGTGAGCACGGCTTCTGGTAGCGGTGCATCATCGTCGTCGTCGTGAGCGAGCTCATCGGCCAGGTTCCTGGAGGAGCGCTTCATGGGCGACGTGGCCGGCTCCAGCTCGTCGCCCGGCTCCGTGTACCGCAGCCACTTCTGCGTCTGTGCCTTCTTGCTCTCCAACCTTTGTTCTAGAAATGTATCGTTTTGTTATGTATGGATTAAGATGAAATCGATATTTGCCGTAGTGTTACCCCATTTCGTCGGAGTCCTTAAAATATTGTATAAACATAGATATTTCCCAGTCTTGCATATTTTGTCACAATGTTTTCATCGCCGATATACTAGGAGTTTTCTTTCTCGTACAACTTCTCTGTGGAATTGTTTACCACTGGCAATTTTTCCGGACCGATATGAATTAGGGACCTTTAAATATGAAATTTCGTTTTCATAACTTCATTACTTCTTTACGTAGCCTTCAATCATAGACGACGGGAATGACGGACTCTACAATGCTGAAAAATATCGAACACCGTGCGGTGATTCAATTCCTCATTAAACAAGGAAAAATAAAAATAAAAACCATGAAGAAATGGTGGTCGTTTACCAACACTTTGCTCCTTCAATGTCAACTGTACAGAAGTGGTTAAGTGAATTCAAAAAAGGCAGGGAAAGAATTGAAGATGACCCGGACGGCCCCCCGCCCGGGTGGGCCAATTACAGCGAAAATGTGAAAATTATTGAAAATCTTGTATTGGAAAACGCACGAGTAAGAATTAAGATGTTGTCAGAAATGACTAACCTATCCGTTGGTACCAAACGCACCATATTGCACGACTATCTCAACCTCACAAATCAATGCAAGATGGGTGCCTCGAATGCTCACTGCTGCGCTTCTTAAGCAGGCGCTGGTTAACAGTTGTAAGAAGTTTTTAGAGCTGTTGGTGACGACCCAACAAGTGTTTTCGTAAGTATTGTTACTGAAGATGAAACAAAAATTGGTTTCATCATTACAACCCTGAGAGTAAACAGGAGTCTATGCAATGGCATAAATAGGGATCAGAACCAGACACCATGCAACCCAGATCTAGCCTACTCTAGACTACTTTTTATTACCAAACTTAAATAAGACACACTTAAATAAGACATACTTTACAAAAATATGAACAATGCATTTCTTTACATTTGATTATGAAATCAAATGATGAAGGTCAACGAATTTTACTTGAATCATTAAACGGACACCATAAAATATTTTTAATTACTTTACTATAAAATGTTAATAATAAATGTTCAATCATTGATAACTTGAAACGGAAAGCTCAAGGAAAACAAGAGTGCGAACAAAAATGTTTGTTTAATATACTAACGACGTCATTGTACAGTCGAAAAATTGCACAAGTTTTGAATGTTTCAATGTTGTTTTTAGCAAAATAAGCAAACGGCGTTTAGTTTGTTGATACTTTCATACATCCATCCATTACAGCCTATAGACATCCACTTTTGAACATATAAACAGGGTATGCATTGTCGTACATGGGAGGAAAATTGTGCTTTTACTACATTAGTCTTGGCCTGTGTAGTAGAATATTTATTGTGCTGTCTAACGTATGTGCGGCGGCGAACCCATATAAAATTGTCTATAGAAAAGGAAAAGTAACTGATAGCGCTATATAGCAAACTATAGAGCGCAATGATCACTTAACATAATGTAATGTGGTCTGTATGGAGGCTTATATAAATTTAAAAAAAATTCTACTTTCACTAATTTTTTTTTCGCTTTACATTACCAAATTATCTATTCTGGTTTAAAGGGTAAAATAGCCCATTTAATGATATACACTACAAAAAATTCTGTCCTCGATGTGAACAACGTACTGTACTACTGTGTCTTTCTTTTTTTCGGATAATTTCCTATGGGCTTTCACTTATATTCAGGTGGAATGCGAGCTAGTTTGTCACAATTATAAACAAAATGTCTTTCGAATGTATTGAAATAAAAAAAAATGCTTTATAAATTTGACAGAAGCAGTGCATTTCCCGCGCTCGCAAACTTTCACGAATTAATTACACTCGAGCACCGCTCGCCTACATTTCAGAGCCGAAATGTTCGAGTTTACACTTAGCTCAGCGCCTACTTTCATTTGCATTCAGCGGGAAATATGAGTAAGCAAAATTATTCATAATAACGTTTTTTTTTATTGTATTACTGTGAAACAATTACTTATACTTATTTCTTAGACTTATTTTGTTATTAATACCTTATTTGGATATTAATACCTAATGTGAAACTGCAGCTTTATAGCCTAAGATTATGCACCAAATTGAAATAAATCTCGTTATAGCTATCTCGCTTTTTTATTCCTTGATGACCGTGAGGCCTAATCACAACAGTGTCTGCTAGCTACGCCGCGGTACTCGGTTAAGTATTAGTAGTTAAGTATTTTGTTGGAATTCCAATAAATGGAAACATTAATTTTGTGCAAAGATATAAATGTTGGGTTCCGCGTCTGGTTGTTTTGATTTTCACTGTGGATTGTATTCCAAAGCTTCCAGATTTCCTCCGATATGAACAGGGTCGGATTAACTCAAAGGCAAAGTAGGCTACTTAGCTACTTACTGCCTTCGACCACCGCGTCGCAATAGGTACGGTCTCGCAGCCTTCGAAAAAAGCATTTATACATGATTGAGTAACATGGACCACAGAACACAGAAAACTCTACATGGCTTAATTCGACTCTGGATTTAAACGCGTAAGTGTAAATTAGGTGAGGAGGGGGAAGTTTGTAAGACCTTTGTTTGCGAGTATTTTTGGCACACGAATTGTACGAAAATCTCTACCAGGAGCATGATTATGAACAGTATTATGTAAACAGATTAAAGTAATATCGTGATATATGAAGGAAATTCTAATAAAGTTCTTTGTTATGTTATCTGTTACGTTTTTATGTGACATACTCGCATATACAGAACAATATAAAGAAAACATTGTCGAATAAGACTGAATCGATTAATTTGTAAATATAATGAAAAACCACAGGTGTGGCGATTTCGATAGTTGTAACACCCACCCAAATAGAACGCTTTAAATGATGTTTAATCCTAACATAATCTTTGGTCTTTGAGTCACATAATCCAGCTAGTTTTAACATAATATGACATCGATTAAGGCGGAGCTGACGTAACATGTGAGTCACCATCAAGAAATAAACATTATGGGGGACCTTAACATTCTACTAGTGTTTCTCGAGGGATTACAATTCAAAGCATAGTCAGTCAATTTTAAACCCTGGCTGCCTAACTTTAAAAACGATAATTGTGTGACAGATAATCCAGGATATTAAAATTTGTTTGAACGCAAACTCTTCTTTATAAAGGTATTCAAATTATTATTATGTACGACCCGTGGTAACCCTAAGGGTAAATTGCTCTCTTAAAATAGTACAGAACGCAGGAACAGCATTTTTTATTCCATTTTATTTTTATTTATTTAAAAGGACAACCAAAAGGACGAACACTAATACATGGAAAGTAACATGAATATCAAACTAAAGCTAACTGTCATCTTAATAGACTGCCACGGCATGCAAATGTGGACTGTGCAAATAAAACTTAAACAGGTTAGTTAATACGAAGCAATGAAAACATACTTGAATCAAACAGACACCATTGACTCGAGAAACTGACCCGAGATTGCGACTAAATTTCATCTGTTTGTCAGAAAAGATGTCGATGTTTTAGGACTTTGATATTAAGTTGTATTTTTTTAATAACCTCACTTAAATATTTTCCGCTGTACCGTGAAGAATTTACGTAAAAACATTACATTGGACTAACATCCGGAATCTGTAGGCCATACAAAGTACTTGTTTCGGGCGAGTTTTGAACCCCGGCGCTTCGGGGATTACAACCAAACGCTTAGCTTCTTCGATCAACAATAGTTGGTATTGTATTGTATATTAAAGCTTAGTTTAGTCTAATATTATGTCTCCTGATTTGTTTGTTTACCTCTCTCTTTTCTTACGACATTTACGGGACGACATAGTTTTTTAACTTCTCAGTCATGTAGGTTTACTCACGAAGTTTACCTTCAACGTCGAGCACGTGGAAAATCAGCACTTAAAATTGTAATAAATTTTCATCGGTACCGGCGGGGATCGAACCCGGTTTGAGAGCGTACAATGAAAATTACAATGAATTACTACTGTTCAATATATTACAGGATTACATCAGTTGATTTACTGCGAAATCAGTTGAGAAGGAATACGTTTACATATTTGTTAACATTATATTTGTATACAACTTACATTATATAAATGTTTAAGCTAAAGTTAATAACAAACCTACATTATAATTTTCAATTAATAATAAATCTACAGAATATGTAAATTTAATAAAGAATTAGTCTCATTAAAGCAAAAATTCAACTTTAAATCATTCAATCGACATCAAAAGTTCCTAATTTTTTGTTGTTTTGATATAATTTCTTGCCTCATCCTATTGCATCTAATGCAGTCAGCAAACCAACGCACGTGACGCTGTGAGCCGAATAAAGTCGGTATTTCTATTTCCACAGACTCGTTATGGGGAGTAGCATTACCAGCGGTTGTGTTGACTCTGCGCTTATCAAACCGCTTGCACAAAATATTGTAAGTCACGCAACTGCAGTAATCAGTCACGAAAAGGCCTACGACTATTTCCAGTGGTGAATTTAAAGACGGAAAGCAACACGTTAAGGCGACACCGTGAAAAAATGCACCTCCTTTCATCGAATAGTATAGGACTATGACACCACTAACGAAAGTGGAATTTTGATATAGGTAAATTCATGTCTTTATCTTGAATTTGATTGCTTAAAAACACGTTTGTAAAATTAATTTTGACTCGATCATAATTATTTGCGAAAACACCTCTAAAAAACCACTATAGTTGAAATTACAACGAAATCATTTGATCTATATGCTTGGGAATCACTCAAATATATTCATAACATCAATATTCATAATTTACTTGCTCATTATTTTGATAACTTAAATCAATAATTTTTTAAAAAATATTTTAAGATTCTGACAATTTTTAAGCGCTTTTAATCGTTGCGGGCGCTACGCTATTTTAGACCTTATGACGGCGTTTCTTCAAGTCTTCATAGAAATTATGTATTCACTCGGGTCAGTACGGCGATAGCGTTTTC